CCTTTGTTCTCTGCAGGCCGCAAGCGAGTCGAAAAGTGACAAGGAGTGCGAGAGAGAAAGGTATACGAGCGATACCACGTGATACTTCGTCCTCTCTGTCTGTTAAATGATCGACGCATGCGCAGAGAGGACGAACATTATTACTCGTCTACCTTTCTCTCTTGCACACATCTTGGACACAGTTTTCGAGCGTCTATATACTCAAAGGGTTGAGTCTCCTCCCCTCTTACTTCACTCTATTGTTATACTCGTATCGGCAGTGATCAGCGGTGACCGTGGTGTTATGTTGACATGACAGATTTCGTAACCCGAAATTTTCGAAAAGTCAACTTTAACGATATCTCGTTAGAACAGAGCTTTTTTTCTGCTAGATTCTTTCGTTTCGTGCAAAAACGTGTCGAATGAGTCTAATTTGATCAAAATCGCAGGTGAGAAAGGTTAAATTAAACAATTACCATATGTATATGTTTAAAGTATATTCTTTAGGATTTCAAAAATGGATTTACGCAACGACATTAAGAAGGCAACGTCACTTGGTTCCATAGAAGACGACGCCAAATTCTATCGACTGCATGGACTGAGTCAGGCTGCCAAAGATAAAAAAATGAATGAAAGGAAAGTGAAAAAACCACGAAACGCAAATGTCAGTACATATATTAATGCAAATGTGAAAAGTAATATTTGATTTATAATAATATTGTATTCATAGTAATGTTTAATTTATATTTCATATATATATATATATATATTATTTATAAATATTTGTTTCTTTAATTTCAGTTAGTAGAAAACTTCGACACAGAGAATGATGATTATATGAACAGTAATATAAATAGTAAAGTAAAACCTACTTTCGATAAACATGATGTTTCTGCTGCTGTCAGAGAAGTAAGCAAATATTCTCTTCTGTTAAGAAGATAATTAAGAGTCACTTTAATTAACTTCGATTAACTTTAATTACCAACTAATTCGTTTAGGTCTGACTATATGAGTATGGACTGATAATAATTAACTTCATATGTGTCGCCAAGCTGGAAGATGTAAACTCCACTCTACCTATATAGATATAGATATAGAACATATATTACTGGAAGGAGAATGCTGAGAATAATTGAGTGCTGAACGTGAAGCCAACATCTTTGTGAGAGAGAAAGTTATAGGTTCCCAATTGACTAATACGCATGTGCCATTTAGCCCCCACTCTGCCCGTTTTGCTTAATTTCTTATTTTTCGAAAATCTTCAAAAAAAAAAACCGGGCCTAAGTGGAGGTTGAATGACACATGCATATTACAGTTAAATGGGAACCTATACCTTTTTCTCTTGCACAGATGTTAGCTTCAGCTCGATGCACGAATGGTATAGACAATTCTCCTTTTGTAGTATATGTTCTAAGACTCCACCCCAGTCAGTAACTTTCTGCGGGGAGGGAAAGGCTCCTGTGAAATCAGCGTGTTCATGTGTAAAGGAAAGGTGCTGAGTCTGTTTTTCATTTCTTTCCATCGATTTGAGATTCTTTTCTGGCATGCTATCAATTTTCAACATAACATTTAATACAATTTTGACATATTTGTCATTCTTTTACTGACTGGGGTGGAGCCTGACAATCGAAATTCGATACCTGGACCAGCTTCAGCTTGGCGACACTGGGCATATGTCTTTTACATAGTAAAAGTGGGAGACCAGCATTCTCAGCATTCTCCTTCCAGTAATATATGTTTTATATCTATATCTATATAGGTTCTATATCTATATAGGTAGAGTGGAGTTTACATCTTCCAGCTTAGCGACACATATGAAGTTAATTACTATCAGTCCATATTTGTATATAGTCAAAGGTTTAGGTAGCAAACTAACCATATTTATTATCATTTTGACATAAAATTTGGCCACATTTTTGGTGACATTTTGCAAAAATGATAAGTAACGTCAATTTACTATTTGGGCGAATGAGTTTATCGGAGTTGGCTGAAGTGACTTTTAAATTAACAAAATGATATTTCACATTTTAATTGGAAATAATTTCTCCAGTTAAGATTTTAAATTAAAATTAACTTCTACATAGTCAAAAAATATGTATATGTTGAGGACAAATGTAATAACTTACATCATTGAAACAGCTATACATCTCTCGATGTATACATAAAAAAGCTAAATAAAGACATAAGTTAATACGACAGGTAAATGGTGGCCGTGATCTTTCAAACAAATGTTGGGAAGAAACCTATTCGAAAAATCTTAACCGTATGGAGACACAATCTAAAAATGAAACGTCTCAGAATTCTTCCAAACATGATAAAGAAACGGAAAATCTACCCAAGGCTAAAAACTTAAACGACAAATATATCAAGCAAAAGGATAAATGGTATAGAAATGCTGCTATCATGGGTCTCGTGAAAGCAAAAAAGATTTCAATGCAGGATTTAATTAATTCTAGCGATGAAAACTCAGCGAGAAACGAAGACGGACCAGATACCTTGGTAGGTATAAGTAACATATAATATATTATAATGTCGTGTATAACGTTACGTTATGCATTTAATACGTGTAATTCAGAGACTATTCTCTAAACGTAAGAAAAAAATATTTCTCACCTTACGTCAGCATGGAACCGCATTCAACGGGTGTATAACGGACTGTGATAAAAACCAAGTGGAATCAGTTCCCCTTCGTGAAGATCCTGAAATCTTTGTTCACCCTTTGCAAATGGGACTAGATAAAAAACAATTCAAACACATAGACTTTTCTATACCACGAATCGGCAAGAAGAAAAAAATGACGCCATTAGAGTTTTTTCTTGAAGCAGATGACGATGATTTCTTTGAATTTGTAAAGAACAAAGAATAGTATATAGATATATTATTGTTTAGACAAATGATTAGTTAACATTATTATTATTATTATTATTATTAAGGAATAGATATAAGAGTTGGATATGCAAAAAAATAATGGCAACACTGAAATAAGTTATTTGCTCTTCTAATTTGTCTATCTAATTTACATTTGTAAGAACGCAAAGTTTTAGGATGCGAAATCAAGTGTTATTATAGGATATAAAATTGCTGTAGAAACATATCTCACGCATTTTGGCGCGAGATACTATCGCGATTGATATCTTAATTTACAAAGATGAAAAAACAATGAGGATTAAGAAAAAGAGATGAATACAATTCTTGTGCGAAAAATCCAATATTAAAAGATATCTTTAAAAAAATATACTGTGTTCAGGTATTGCCACACGGAGTAGCAGGATATTCTTATACGTACAATGACTCACGAAACTAATCAAATATATCACACAATTATCTGTGATTAACAAAAAAAAACAAGCAATCGACAAAAACAGCCTGAATATCAATATAACATATAAACAAATATATATTTATGATCTTGCTACAGATACCTTTGTTCACAAATTTTCAAAAAAGATTTAGTCATAATAGTACAATTTGATCAGTTATGTAAGTCGTATATTACAAACATGGCTGTAATGTTGTTTTATATTAGTGCCATTTGTTGAAAATTAACTAGAAATTATTAAAAAACTACGAAGCCTAATAATAAACGCTATAGCATTACTGTTTATGTAACGATAAATATTATTTATAATAAAGAACTATATGTAATAAAAAGAAAGTTCACTTATCTTTTACAAAGATAGGTGAATTGTGATGTGTTTTTTTTTGCTTGACGTAATGGTATGAATATTATTTTTTGATATAGAAATTATGCAATAAAAAATTCTAATTACACTTAAAAGATGTTGCTGCTATCCAACTCTTTATATCCAACTCTTATACACAACGTCTCGAATACGCTGAAATAAATTATTAATTTAGATATTCTAACATTTATTATTAAAACGTTAATGGATTTTTCAGCATATGTAATTGAAAACTAGGTATGTAATAGCTTGTAAAAATTAAGTATCGACAGTTGTTAACAGAATGTTAAAGTTTAGAATTTGCTTGTTGTCAGCAAATCTAACTTGTTTATTTTTTCTCGAAGCCTTATATAGAATTATTAAAAAAAAAAACATTTCTATTTTGAATCCTTTGAGGAGATCTCTAATAAAGTAAATAAACTTAAATAGGAACTTTTTAACAAAGTAATTTATGGGAGACCTTGTTTTCTAAGGGTTTTCAAAATCAGTGAATTCGATTTTGACCTCAGAATTTTAAAATTTAAAATGTGGATTCAATATGGCGGATCAAATTTAAAAAATCTGATTACTAGAGTGATACGAATCTTGGGATCATTGAATTTGAATGTAATCTGAAAATGTAAAAATTCAAAAGGGTAATAATCTTCAATGAAAGAGAAAAAACTTATGTCACAAAACTCATCTCCAACCGAACAAATCACGAAGAAATTTCCACTTCATTCAGGCCCGGCGTTTTATGTGTGAATTGTGTGGAGCAGTCCACATTCCAAAATCAGGTGGATTTCCACATCCGAAAAAATCCATACTCGATCACAGAGAGATTTAGCGGAGGCTGTAATGGATGACATTGATAAATTATTAAATGAATTTATAAGTAAAAATAATTATAGAGCATCCATGTTTTTTATTGTCAAAAATAAATAATTAAATGTTAAAAGAAAACATTTGTGTACTTGAAAATTTTATCAACTACTGGTGGAGTGGGGGGATTTTTCATCAGAAATTTCCATAGTATTTCACACCTAGAGCCGAGATAAATCGCCGGGCCTGACTTCATGTAAAATCTATATTCACTCTTCAGTTCTCGCGCATATGTAACGACATTTATAATTCCCATTAGAGTTCCAAAGACCCTCGCACTAATTATATGGAAAATTGAATCTCGGTGAAATGAGTTGGTTTTCACATATAAAAAAACGACAGGATTAAAAGAGATACATTTCGAAGGATTTCCAGATCAAAGCTTTACTATAATAATTGTACAGAGCATAAATTCTACACATTTGATGACACCATAGCACAAAAGCTATTCATTATTGAGCCTCGTGTCTGCCTGATATCTTTTATATATCATATTGTAAGTTGTATATGAAAACCAATTCATTTCACCGAGACTCAATTTTCCATAGCCTTTCCCGTACAGTTTGAAAGTTGGTGTGTTTATAGCCATCTGATTATTTTTTTTGAAGTTTCGTATATATTGGATCCAATATTTTGAATGTCTTATTTTTTACCTCAAATTCGAATAAAGCTTTATCAAATTACTCCATAAATCAAGTTTTATGAAAATCGAGCGATCAGTTTACAAAATACTTGAAAAGATAGTGGTTCCAAAAGCCATCCGTCCACAAAGGGTTAGTAGATTTGTTTCTGCTAGGTTTCAGCTTGCAAGTATACAACTTACACTGTGCTATAGAAAATTTGACCAAATTTAATCTCTGGTTTCACAAATTCCGTATCGCGCGACACGCAAACAGCGTGACTTGATTAATATTCCTTAATTCAATTGGCAGATGAAACTCAAGCTATTTTACTATCGCCTACTATAAATCAATAAATCGAAAACTGTTATCATTAAACTCGTTTAAAATGCGAAATACTTCATTTAGATAAATCTGTATTATAACAATGTAGGTACAATCGAGATTTATTTGTTCAGTTTTACGAAGACATTTTATAACTTATCTATTGATTTTTTTTTATTAATTCTTGCATGAAACATTTGAATCATACTTTTATGTAACAAAAAAATATAATTCTAAAAAATTACAGAAAAATTTAACCGTTTAAATGTTAGCTGGAATTATTATTTAATGTACTTGGTCATACATGATCTGTAATTTATATTAATTTAAAAGAATATCATGATATACAAGGAGATATTCTTTTAAATTGAATATTCCTGGTTAAAGTAGGTTAAAATTTTATATTTGTAAAATGTAAAACTTATTCAAATTTATTCTATTGCATTTTTTGTATTATAAGTGATATGTTAATTATATTAATTTTTCATAAACGAATATTATTAATTGCGTTTTAATGTTCCTTCCAGAACACTAAAGGACCAAAGGATGTGTTCTAAGGCAAATGAGCTTAATTTTGTTTATTTAACTAAGAGCGGGCTTAAATTTGTATACATTAGTAATAACAAAATTTATAATAAGATTTATATATTTTGTAAGATACTCAGGGACAATAAATATTTTATTTTGATTATTCTGGAAATAATTAACACTCAAATCTGTCCTGACTTTTGAGAAAATATTTATTATATTCGCTAATTTATGTACAGGTATTTTTAATAATAAGTGTTTAACAAAAAAGAAATACAATCATGAAGATTGTCATTTTAAATAGTTTTTGAACGCTGAAAGATTGTTTACTAAATTACTTGGAATATATTAATTTTGAGAAATTTGTAATTAAAGTTGCAAAAAGAAGCTATTTTAGTATCTATATTTTTGCAAGTTATAATTACAATATGTGACGTGTTGGAATATTTTATTGCAATTAAAGTTAAAAATATTAGAACGTTCAGCCTTTAAAAGGATTTATTATCGATATAAACACGCGCGCACACAAAAGAGGTGTAAATCCGACCAGGTAATCTTTACGTGATACATCAATGCTAATTCTGGCGGTAAATGTAACTTTCAAGCCTTGTAACTGGAAAAGTACTTAATGACAAAATATTATATTATAGTGTTTTGAAAAGCTGTCGAAGCTACGAGAAAATGCAATAAAAAGTGGGGGTTTCTACATATTTAAAAAATTAAAGATGATCTTCATGTGATTTTCAAACAATCCAAGGTCAAAATGACATCTTATGTTCTCCTTCAAATTATACAACTTTTAAACTAATTTATACACATACAGATGTTTCATACAATTTAAAATTGAATTTAAAATTGGACAATACAATTAAAAAACATTTAGTAAAATCTTATTGGCTTATACAAGCCGCAACTTTGATGCAATAATAAATAGACCCTATATTAATGATAAACATCATTTTAACTATAATCGACATTCCTTTTGAGAACTAAAAGCCCTAATAAGATATTTGAAGATTTTTGCAATTAAACTTTTTCAATGTCACATATTGTAGTTATAATATGCCAAAATATACTGAAATAATTCTCTTTTTGATAACTTTAACTGCAGGCTTTTCAAAAAATAATGATAAAATAATTTGATAAACAAAATTGTATTTTCTGCACCCTAAAAAATTATGGAACATGATTATCCTTGTGCTAAAAAGTCATTTTTTTTGTTGAACATTAATTTCTATTTATAATTATACAAAAATATTTTATAAATTCATCTTTTAGAACAGACTATTGTTAATAATTTCGTTGTAAATGTGGACAATTAGCTTAGATTTGGATATTAAAATATACGATTATGCAAATTATTATTCAGAGCTTCATAAATTGTCATATTGATATGGGTGCAGAATTTATATTTTATATTTAATTAATAACACAAGACGTGTAAAAATATAAACAAAAATGATTTACATGCACAATTTTATTTATATTTGAGTAACAATCGGTAATGTTAGTATTAATTTATCAATAATAAATACAAAAAATACAAATCTGACAATAAGTATGTATACTTTGTACAGGCGAATGAGGATTATTATAAAGTCATGTTTTAAAATCAAAAGGAAACTAAATAATAATAAAAAATGTGAGTCTTACTTACAGAAAATATCTATTAAAAGTTCACTGCATCAATGAATTTCAAATTGATGTATTCATAGGAAAAGAACATTTCTTTCAGCGTTGTTAGCACAAAGTAACGAACAGAAATAAGATTCAAATTTAAAAGCTGTCCCCAGTGACATTTTTAGCTCGTTACAGGATAGAGGTGGCCGTATAAACTTCCTTATATAACAATCAAAACAGGCAGTTTTGCATAGGTGGCAGTGTTTCGCTTCATCCAAATATTCTACCAACGTATACGGTATTGTACTTCGATCATACATTATCCTATGAAGATATAAAAATTTATCTTAGCTCGCACGTCACATATTTTGAATTATACGATATAAATTAAACAAAAAAAGTAAAAACAAAACCTAGATTTCAGGACGCTTTTAGCTGACCATTCAATAAGACTTGACATCCTTACGTTCGTGGTACTGCCATTGCCATGAATATCATTTTTAATGTCACGGATAAACGGATTCTCCGTAACATCCAGAAGTTGTAGCCGCAGATACGTGATGGTCACTGGTAAATACGACAAACGATTTTTCGCCACGTCTAAAACTCTCAGATTTCGCAAAACTCTGATATTATGTGGTAGATGCGTCAATGCATTTTGACTAACCTTCAGATGCATCAAGGCGTTCAAATTTCTGAATTGTACTGGCAATTCAGTCAGCTGCGAATAATGACAAATTATTAATAATGGCAGTAATGAGAAATAATTTATAGACAACAAAATCTGCTTTATCAATTAATATACAAGTGCGTCAAATCTGGATACAATCAAATATCTCATAAACAATGCAATTTTGAAAAAATTTCAGACAAAAATTGTAAGATTTACAAAGACGCATTAGACACATAATATCCATTTGACCGTGAGTTGCGTTGCTAAGGTATACCCTTGGATAATATTAATGCCGATAATATTTAAAATTTGTCAACTGATAACTCGAAAAATTCTTAACAAAATTGACAGAGTTATACGCTATAATGAAAACATCTTAATGTAAACTATAATAAAAAGTAGGTTCTATTAAAAAAAAAAAAAAATCAAGTTGACTTTAATTTGAACTTGGCACCCAAGGATATTAATGTATCTTTTAAAATCTTACAATTTTTGTCTTTTTTTTCAAAATTGCATTGTTTACAAGATATTTGATTGTATCCAGACTTTTGGTGCATCCTGTATATATAATCCTGTATATATAATCTCTAGGTTTAATTGAGTAATACCTACCGAATTATTACTTAAATCTAAGAAATGCAAATTATGCTTAATGGCAGTCTGCTCTAGCCATGCCCACTTCAATCTAGGTGATTTTCCGAGATTATTCTGCGACAGTAGAAGCTGCTGTAGATGAGGCAAGGTGCCCAACTCCTTTGGCAGGTAGGAGATCTTGTTGTCTGACAGATCCAGAATTCGTAAACTTTGCAAGCGCAAAATTTGTCGATCAAATGACTTTCTGCTCAGTCCACTTAAAATTAGATGCTCCGCTGTTCTCGGGAAACCATGTAAGGTCGGATATTCAGAATTTTTCTTTACCACAACTTTGACTTTTCCCAGGGAGAATTCACTTTGGTTGAAAAACACATCAGGCATAAGAGTGTATTGCTTCACGAGACTGTCGTAATTCCGAGAATGTCCATTTGTCATATGATTCAGTATATGAAGGAAGCTTTTCAATTGAATTGTGTCACTTTGAATAATCAGATCGTGACAAGGTTTCGTCAGTCTTATTGTAACTTTGCCATTGGCGATAAACTTTGTAAATACTCGTTCTACATTGTTAACAATCTAGAAAAAAAAACAAGAAAAAGTTTGATTAGTAAATATTTAATAAATAAATAAAATATTTAATTAATTATAAAGTAAATATTTAATATATTCTTCAAAAATGAAAATACTACAGTTTAGATACACTGAAACTCTATGAAACTTATTAAAACGATGTAGAATTAATTTTCTGGTAAAGTTGAGAGAAGAAACAGATAATAGCGATAATAAGCGATATAATATGTGTACTGCCGGCTACCTGATACTTGATGCCTCGCTTGTTCTGCCGTGTTTGCAGATACAGGTGCACATTATCATTCTCGGCCGATTTTTTAGCGAATGCCAGGATCGATTGCGATCGCCTTTGCAAGCAGACAGATAACGTTCTGTCATGGATCTCGACATTGCAATGAAATTTCATGATCACTTATCGTCCCACACCGGCAAACCATCGGATCAAGACAGCTCAAGAATCCGAGACATCAAAAACGGATTCAAACGGGATGATTCTTGAACTCGAAATGTCATGAGTGTTTAAGGCCAGCAACACATGGAATGCATAAGGGCGAATTCACACCTTGACAGAAAAGCGGAAAACAGAAAAGTAGAAGCCAATCAGAACTCGCGTTGGTAGTTAAGGGCGAATTCACACCTTGACAGTAGAGTCCTAGATTATCAGAGAAGCGCGACCGGTGTTACGAGTCCTGATTGGACTCGCAAATG